ATCATGATTCTCCTAAATATTATCTTACATGATTGTTATCAATCGGGGATATAATACTCTTTATGTCCATGTACAAGTCAAAAGAAGCCTGGAATTTATGACATTGAGGCTTTCTCAATTCCCATGAAATTCTTTCTAATTATTTTGATCTCCAAAAATGATTGTAAAATTTCACTGAAATATTTCTATCCTCTCAAATTTATGTGGTTCACCATTTGTTTCCACCACGCAATGGTTAGAGTTCATATCTTCACGAAATATTTTAACATTCTAGTTGGTCATACTAGAAGTAAATTATATTCATATATTAATCAACAACATAGGTCATAAAAATACAAGAAAATTATATTGGAAAAATATCTTAAAAAACCACGATGAAAACAACTAACCCTACATCACAGAGATATGAAAGATGAGTCTAGCCACGCATTGTCGAGAAAAATACAAACACAAAATCCATGCAGATCTTCATTGCAAAATATAAATGAAAGTAAAACTTACAACAAAGGCTTGTCCTCTCCACAAAAGCAGTACCTCTCCTTTTCATATAAAAAATCTCTTAAGCACTCACAAGTACTCAAAGGGAAAAAAAATCACCCCTTGAGCTTTCAATCCAAAGAAAGGAGAAAAAACTAAAGGGAGAACTCTATCTAATCAAAATATATGCTTTCTTACCACCTTTGCCTTTATCCTCCCATGGTGCCCCAAAACTGGCCTTATGAGTAGATAGATAGGCAGGGCTTGACAAAAGATAATAAATTTTTTGCCAAAATAAGTTCAACAGACTGGGCACGAGCACACCGGGAAGCCGGCACGGACACGCCATATCTACAACCCAGTTGCGCCGCGTCTTGGGCAGAAAGAAGCACGCGGTTACACTGTCAGGAGTGCTAGCACTTTACAGCAGGTGTGGGTACGCTGAGCACAGTGCGAGTGCATAGAAGTTAAAGCGGGCGAACTGGATTGTGGCGTAGGCGCCTTGTCCAGAATCTCTTTTATGTGCTGATTTTTGCTCATTTTCGCTCAAATTTCACGTCCATCCTTTCTTCTACACAACTAAGACAAAATACTTTTCTCAAACATAATATTAGTAGAAAAAAGATATAAAAACATGAGAAAATATGTCATAAAAATATCATATATTCAGCTTATGTCAAATCACTCAAACTTGCCTATTACTTGCCCTCAAGTAATTCTTATGACTTAACTCATATTTTTAAAAAAAAATTAGTTTCCTTTATTCCATGTCAATCTTAGTCTATGAATAATGAAAAAGACAAATTTATTTAGGTATTATGATTTCTATTACTAAATGAAGATTTCCTTACCTAATAACATCTTATACTCATCATGTTTTGCCCTAAACCCTAAATTATTTAAAAACCCCCTTACTTCTCCAAGTATGTTTAAACAATTGTTTCTTATTTTAACAATAGCTTTCCCCTTAATTCTTCATGCAGTTGTAACGTCCCAAAGAATGTACTAAGATTGTAAGTAAACCATTTAACATGGGGACAAGGCTAGAAGACCAACTTTTAATATGATAATGCTTAACCTCAAGTTTCTTCTCCAATTCTCTTTTTCTTTTCTTTTTAGCTCTTTTTATAAGTATACCTTTTTCTTTCTTTTGTTCTTAGGCTTATAAGAATTACTATGTTTGGTTAAGCAACATATTATTTTTCTTCTTTTGCTTTTTAGAGTTTAGGCTTTTTAATCCTTCCTTAATCATATGTTTCCTTAACCTTAATTTGATCTTTGGTACTTAAATAAATTATGTCAAATTAAGTTTTATTCTTTGATAAAATTAAAATAGTATGATTTTAAAATTTCTAAGGATAAGTGATGAGTTTCTTGCTTCTAACTTTTTAAATGCTTAGAGATTTTTATGTTTGGATGAAGGAAAACATTTTAGGCAAAAGGCTAGTACTATGCACATACATCCTAATTTTTTAGTGAATTTAAAAATGCCTTGGTAACAATCTTGTTTTTCATAAAAAAATGGATTAAGACTCATAAAATTTGGCAAAACTTCAAATCTTAGTAAGTAACACAATCACTTCAGGACAGCTAATTGTGTGAACTTCCCTCCACCAAACTTGGTTCTTGTCCCACCGTTTCAACGTTTCCTTCTCAAATCATTCTCAGTAGACCATAATAACAAAAAAAGAGGGTAGTTAAAAAAAATTTGTTGAAAAAGTACGGAATCAAACACATGCTTGCAAGGTACATGAAACTAAAACAATCAAAAGGTCAACAGAGAGAGCATCAATATTAAAAAAATTGAAAAATAGAGCATACCAAAGAATGAAAATCATGGTACAAACAACTACTGGTGGGAACAATATGACAAATACAAAAAAACAAATACAAAAAAAAAAAAAAACACAGCTCCAAGTTTAACAAAGAAAGTATATAACTCCATAATCAAAATTGGCATTATCAAATCCATAGAAATTTAACATCCAACCACTCATCATCTTTCTTATCATCCATCCCATATGTCGAAGACTAATATGGCTCTACTCTCGAATTGGCTCTTTAAATAGCCATAGGAAGCCATGGGAGGAGCTTTGAATTGCTTGGGGATCTTTGGTGGATTCTCAAAGAATAAGCAGAGGGATGAAAATAACTTGGGCATAAGTAAAGGAGGTTTCTCCATTTTGCTGCCTAGAGGTGAAGGTCCAATGGCTGTGAAGGTGGCATCACAAGACCTTGGAGTGATTAGGGGAGGCTTTAGTGTGTTGTTCTAGACCAATTTTGGTCTGGTTTGACCTCCCATGGGTTGTCTAAGTGGATTTTTGACTTAGGTGCCATGTGTTGATCATTTTGTTTAAGTGTGCATTTTTGTCTTTTTGTGTTTGTCTTAAGCTTTTAATTAATTTAATTTTATTTTTGTTGGTTCGTTGTGTCATGGTGGGCTATTTGAGCCATGGGTTTGCTTTTATGGTCAAGTGATAGGTCATTGTTTATGGGTCCTTTTAGGTTTTGGGCCTGTGCCAATCAATAGTTGGGCTCAATCTTAGGTAGTTAGGACTCTAGGATTAATTAATTTAATTAATTAGATTAGTTTATTTAATTTATGATTTCAATTATTTTAATTTGATTTGAATTTGGGTTTAACTTGGTGATTTTAGTTCTTCTAGTTCCGACTTAGGCTGATTGGTATATAGTAATGTTTGCTTATTGGTATTTGGTTTGTATAGATTTTTTTATTTTAATTTTATCTTAGGTAAGTTTAATATTAATTTTCTTTTAAAGAGTTGAGCATTCTAATCTTACAGTTCAATTTAATGTGTTTTAGAGGTAATTTACTCTTCAAGGTTGTTTGAGTTCGGCAAAGTAATTGAGTAGGCTCTAAACCTAACTTTGGTGGCCTAATTTTCTTTTGACTTAAATTTTTAATGTTAGGATTTTTATTTTAGCTTAGGGTTTTAGTACAAAGGGAAAACCTTTCTCTAGCCTAGAACTAGCCTCATGCCCGATGGGCTTCTTCTAAATCAAAGAGAATTTTGAGGGTGGTCAGTAGATTCTCATAGAGATTCCTATGATTCTAGGCTCCATGGGTAGCTTAAGGCATTGTTCACCTGCAAGAATTCAACTTGGGCTTTATTGATTCAAACCCTAATCATCTCAAGTAAAAGTTTAGTTGAAGATCTGTGCTTAACCTATGAAACCCTAAGTGGATATTGAAAGTTCAAGGTGGGAGTTGGTCCCATCTCTAGCCATCTAAGAATATCACTAGAAATCCTAAAGCCAGATCCTAGGCTTCTATAGAAAAAAATCCTCAAAAAAGTGAGTTTAAAAACCCTAATAAGACGCAATGGAGAAAAAAAAGATTCAATTAGTCGGCCCCACTAAGTGGGATAAAGGCTTGTAGTTGTTGTTGTTTTACTTAAAATAAAAACATCTCTTGGTTTGTTATAATACAGTTAGTTAAAATTTAAAAACGCTCAAACTAATTTTCAATTGTGTTGAGTGTTTTAAAAAAAAACAAATTAATTTTATTTTAAAAATATAAAATATACATAAAATAAATATATTCTTAAAAATAAAAGTGACCCCAAATAAAATCTTAGTAAAATTAGCTCTTTAATTCTCTATTGAAGTATAGAGAATAAATACATACACATATACATACAAATATAGGCTATTAAATTTTGAGGTGTTATTTCAATTCTTATTCTAAATAATACCATAAATAATCTTCATTTTACTAACCGAAGACAACCCAATTTAATGTCTCACTTTGACGAGGAGAACTAGATTACCAAAAATACCTGCAGGCCCAATCAACTTGTGTGACGTTCTCGTTGACAATTTTATCTTGTATTAATACAAATAAAATACTATTTCATTTAAAATAATATTATAATAAAATGATAAATAGAATGAACAATTATGTTAAATAATAAGATATCATTTACTATAAAATACAAAATATTATTTTTTAAATATTTTTAAATTCTTTAAATTTAATATAATTTATATCAATAACTTTTTAAACGAACTGACTCACGAGCTAATAAATTGAGTCAGAGGTACCTTGAGCTTGACTTATTACTCATCAAGCTCAATTCACGAGTCGCTTATCGAGCAAAACCCGAGCTGGCTCATGAGGCAGCTTGACTCTCATTCACCCCTAACAACTGGGCAACAATCTTGCATAGATTTATTAACTTGTAAGAGAATTGGCAAGTTAATTTTCTAGTTGATATCTATATTCCCAAGAGCAAACCAAAACAGCAAATGGCCACAAATCTAGCATTTTTAATGGCCTCCAAAAAGTTTTCCAAAAAAAGAAAAAAAAATCATGACAATGTCAAGCTTTACTTGACACCTCAAACAATTTAAGAAAAATATAGAATCAAATATATGACCAATTCAAAATTTATTTGACCCCTCAAACAATTTAAGAAAAATATAGAATCAAATATGTGAGTATTTTGAATCCCAAAAATCTGCAAAAAAACACAGTATCATAAATTTACAGCATAAGAAAATACATTCAGAATTTACCATCCCATTTCTTGACTAATTGACTCTCAGCATATCTAACAAAATTACAATAACTCTGAACCAAATCAACAAAAAGACATCTAAACAGTTCAAAATTACAACTACAATGGTTGTCAACATTCTGAAATACAACCTTCTCTATTCAGTAATTTACTACAGATTCCGTCTTCTACAAATGCTAGCTTTCTAATCTCCATATCAACAAACATGACCCTGAAAATCTAAATTGCTACAACAACAGGAACAAAATCTGCATCAACTTCCCAAAATATGCTCAAACCCTGCAGGCTGAAGGGTAGAAACCAAGCTTCCTCCTGAAATATTATGCAGCAGCTGCTGTAGCCAGCGCCGGGTTGCCACATCATCCTAAAAATGTACAGATTATAGTCAAAACAATATAAGAAAGCATATACAAAAACTGCATACTTCTGCAGTACTCTTCAGCATATGAGAGCCATTCTGATTTTTTAGCACAGTACAGAGGTTGAAATATCAAATTTTAGGTGCTAGTTTCTAAATACATAAAAATTGTGTGGCATGATGTAAATTTCACTTAAAATAATGGGTAGATATCTAAATACATACAAATTGTGTGGTATGTATGTAAATTTCACTACATACTCTAAGACAATTGTTGAAAGTTCCATCCTTTAGCATTTCTGGAATGCAATTCTGCAAAGCTTCACATGCTCTGAATGTGTTGTGAACAAGAAAATTACAGAGTCAGACACTTAATGAAAATATTGTAAAGCAAAGTCATAAAAAAAATACTTGCACTTCGAACCTTGGATTTTCTGAAAGTCTTAGGTAACAACGAATTATATGCTTCAGTAACCTAGTAGATGGTTGCTCCGCAAGTGATACAACCATGTTTGCTAGCACTGTTCCAACGGCAAAAAACCGCTCGGCTGTAGCGCAGATATATCGCAGTCCAACATCATCCAGAAGAATTTTTTGAACAATAAAGGTTGCGACCTACAGCGAAATTAAGCTAACATAAAATAATTGGAATTAATTTGGAAGCCTTAATACAAAAAAATATGTGATTGATGAGAGTTTTGTGTAAATAAGAATCAAGCATGAGGCTGACATCGGAGCTTGAAGAGTTTGCTGTCCTAATGTTCTTGTGTTATTGTATTTTAGACTTTTGTTTTGTGTCGTGTTTTTCTGTAGTTTTATTTCTTTGGATGAAAAACTTATAATTAGGAAGGGCTTTAGCTTGTATAAAAGACCTGGAAATTTTTATGGTTTTTCCTAAAGGTTGGCTTTGCCTTCCTTACGGCTATATCCTGAGGTAGCTCTGAGATGGTGCTTTTGCCAATGTTATTGTTTAGTTTCTTTCTCCACTAATGCTCTATCTTTCTTTTTTTCAGTTTTATCGTTTTATGTTGTTCAAAGGCGAGTTATCATTGCAATCATTTGATATCAGAGGAGACTATCTTTTTTGGGTGGTTCTCTGTTTTCTTCTCCATGGTTTCAGCCATTCTCTACTGTCCAGATTCTCGGCTGTGGCCGCAATTCTTTGCTGTCCAGCTGTGGTTTTCCTCTGATGTCCGGATTCCTTACTGTGCACACAATTCTCTGATGTCCAGCCTTGGGCTTCCTCTGTCCAGTGTCCAATCGTGGGTTTCCTCTATGCAGCCGTGAAAGATTGATAGTCCTATATCTTGGACTTCTTATTTCCAATTATTGCCCATAAATTGTGAACATATTTCTGTCCCTGTATTCGTTTGTGGTTCTTTCTGCTCTCAATCATGTCGTCATGAAGAAATATTGTAAAACCCAATCAAGAACTGACTATTGAAGACTTACCACGTAAAATCAGATGTCTACAGGAGCAGCTTGTGGGCTTGGAATTAAAAAATTCAGAAGATCAGACCATGGAGTCCGCATTGGATGCAGTGGAGGATGAAGAAGGCGAAACCAAGAATCTTCATACAATGAGGCACGACCCCTGCTTGAGTGGAGAGAAAGACACCACAAGGTTGCTGATTTTGAAATCAAGATTGGCATTCCATATTTTGAAGGCCGACTAGATCCGGATGAATAGATCCGGATGAATTTATTTATTGGCTACATACGGTGGAAAGGATTCTTGAATTTAAATAACTTCTCCAAGAAAAAATTTTAAAACTTGTAGCCATTAAAATGAGGAAGAACACTTCTCTTTGGTGCCAAAACGTGAAGAGAATAAGGCAAAGGGAGGGCCAATCTAAGATTAACACTTGGAGCAAGATGAATAAAAAATTACAACTTAGATTCCTTCCGAAACACTATCTATAAGAGGTGTTCACTTGGCTACACCACCTTCCTCAACAAGAATGGCCCATGGAAGAATATGTTGCTGAATTAGTACAGCTACGGCTGAAATATAACCTTTCTAAACCCGAAGAACACACAATTACATATTTTTTGGGTAGTCTACGACCATCTATGGCTCGGTATTGAAGGTAGAAAAACAACAAAAATTGAGTAGGAATGTCCCAACGCATGGTAGTTTGACTTGGCCAGTTCGTACGTAAGCTGCATAGACCAGGGTTTGGAGAAGGGGG